ATTATAGAGACTGAGTAGGTTATAGTTAGGAATATATATGTATATACACATATAGATACACAAAGTACAACGAAAAAGAGGCCAGAAATTTGAAAGAGAACAAGGAGGAGTATGCAGGAGCATCTGGGGGAGGAAAGGGAAGGAGAAAATGATGTAATTATGTCATAATTCGAAGAGTAAAAGAAACTAAACAAAGGAAGCTGGAGATATGGCTCAGTGGGTAAGAATGCTTGCTGTTCAAGAATGAGGACCTGCTTTACTCCCTCTGAGGCCCTGCTGTACATCCCTTCTGATGGGGGGGGAGGGGAGGTGGGGGGCAGGAGAAGGGGAGAGAAGGGGAATTGGGGTTGGTATATAAAATGAAAAATGCATTTTTTAAATGAAAAAAGAATGAAGACCTGAATTTGGATCCCCATCACTTATATAAAAAGTTAGACATGGTGCTGACACCTGTAATCCCAACATTGGAGAGAAGAGGGTCACTGGGGTTGTTGGTCTCTGGTCTAGCTGAAAAATGGTGAGCTCTAGGTTCACTGAGAGAGCTTCTCTCAAGGGACTAAGATGAAGACTGACAGAGGAGGACTTCTGATGTGTTCTTGTGGCCTCTAATGTGTACCCCTTCCTACATGCACACACTCATCCATCTTATTTGTACACACACACACACACACACACACACACACACACACACTTCTTGCAAGGCAATAATACAGTCTCACTGTGTTGAATAAAGGAACTCTGATGTGATCATTCACAAGACACATAAGTCAGTTTGTATTAAATTTCAGAATAAGTAAAATTATCAGTGGAGCCAGTCTTCAACCCTAGAGCACAAATGGACTTTGGGAGCCCATTCCCTATGGAGGAATACTATTGCAGTCCAGATACAGCAAGGAGGGCCTGGGCTCTCCCATAGGACAGACTTTGAAGGTCCCTGGTGGAGGGCCTCATTGTCCCTGGGGAGGAGTTGGGGATGGGTTGGGGGGCGTTGGTGGGGAACATGGGAGGATGGGAGGTGAGGGACTGGGGTGATGGATATGTAAATATGAGTGGTAATTAAAGAATTTAGATAAAAAGAATATCATACAGTCAAAAACAGTAAACTTATCTATGAGCTAGGAGGCAGACAGGCTAAGAGGCTGTATGAAAGAGGCTGGGAAGTGACAGTGGGTTTCCATCTTGGACTATGTACTGATTTTATCAGTGAGCCCAGCAACCACTTCATTGTTGATTTAGGCCCCCTTTAGTATATATTATACATCAATAGAATAATCTGTGTCAATGTCTCTGAACCAATGTTCTGGTACCACCTGTGATCCAAGCCGCCAGAGTTTGAGATGGGTCTGAGCTACATATTGAGACTTTTTTCAAAAAATACATGGAAACCTAGTAAATGAAACAACACTGTTTACTCACTATATACTCATGACATACCTCATCCCTCTTCTTAGACATAAAGGGATTTTATCTATAAGTAACCCATTTTCAAGTAGTTATTTGCCTTTTCTTGTTACTGGAAACTAGTAAGAGAGTAATGTCTTCCTTCCTTCATTCCCTTTTTCTTCCTCTCTCTCTTTTTTAAGACAAGATCTCTCTGTGTATATCTGGTTGTCCATGAACTTGTTATGTAGAGCAGGCTGGCCTCAAATGCAGAGATCTGCCTGCCTCTGCCTCCTGAGTGCTAGAATTAAAGGTGTGCACCATCATACCTGGAATTAGTTTTCTTAACAGTTTCTTTTGTTTGGTGTCTACTTGTAAATCTGCTCTAATGCTCATATGAGATAAAATTTGAGCTTCTTAACCCTAATTTTATTCATTGTAAAATACATGGTGCATGAATCCAACTTCATTGTCTTCTAAAGCAGTTAAAGCTGGGCATTTATTTGCTGGTATACAGGAAGCAGTACCAGAATTCATTTTTCTTTGTAAAACTAAAATTACAGCATTTATATGAGCTTATGAAATTGTGTGATGTAGATTGTATTATTGTGAATGATCACATCTGAGTTTGTCACCCAAAGCGGCTTTAGATCTGAACAAGATTAGGGACCTCTGATCTGGGGAGTAAAGTATTGCTTCAGGATATGTTTCCAGAGAAAGCAGACAGAGGAGAGGAAACAGACTTCTTAAGTCCTCCCTTTTAGACTTTGGTAAATGTCAGACGCTGCCATTCAGCAGTAACAGGTGGACAAGGGCTCTGGGTCTCTCAGATTGGTGTCCATTAAGTATTCAGTTTGCATTTCCTAGTTTCATGACATTGTGGGAGCTCCTGAAGCTACTGAGGTCCTAAGGATGATGACAGTAACCATGTCTTTCCTCCAGGGGCTGCCATGAGACTGTAGTAGTCTTCGCAGAGGCAGATCATACATAGCAAGTGTAAACTTGTTAATACACAGCTGGAAATGCACATCCAGTCTATCATTTCTATGTCCAGGGCACCAGCCAGCTCCAAGGGTACTTTTGTTCTAATTTTTCTGCTTGGGGCATTCACTTTGCCAAAGCTTTTGGCATAGCTAACAGAGAGTTCTCCTTCTTCCCACCCAGGACCAGGTTCCTCTTGTCATCCTCACATGAGCTTTATTCTGTCTTTTTGCAATTTATCTCTTACCAAGAAGGGGCATTTTTATACATATACTAGAGTCTGAGAGCATCATTACCATAATCGAAGTCCCAAAAGAATGGTTGGTTGTTCCGTTGTGTGAGTTCATTGTCTTTGTTCTTTACAGACAGGTCTTCGATCTTTCCAAATGTTTCAACAGATTTGGACAATACCTGTATTGCATGGGAACTTTCATTAATCCTGTCTTCCTTACTCACTGACTTCATGAGACACTACTCTCCTGATGGGGTTTAAGCAGGAAAACGAGGGATGTTCTCAAGACTGGCTGCTAAGCAACAGCCCTGCTCTAGAAGTTCCCCTTTAAGTCATTGTGACATTGTTTTCTGCAAAGCAGCCTTGTGGTATAAAGGCAGCTGGAAAGGCTGATTGAGTGGTAACTCTACCAATGAACATCATCAGTATCCTGGGCTGACTCCCTTCGGCTCTGGCATAATTTAATGTGCCTTGCATATTTCTACCATGAGGAGTTTGTCCTTGCCGTAACTGTGCCCGAGAGACTCTTTCCAGATGAGAAAATTGTTAGCTGCCTTTGGTTTTGGTTAAGATCTTCCCACAACAGTCATTGTCTGGGACTAGACAAACCAAAGTATTGCCATTTACTGGGTGCTTTTAAACAGGTTTTCATCTTTCCTTCCTTCCTTCCTTCCTTCCTTCCTTCCTTCCTTCCTTCCTTCGTTTCTTTCTTTCTTTCTTTCTTTCTTTCTTTCTTTCTTTCTTTCTTTCTTTCTTTCTTTCTTTCTTGTTCAACATGGCACAAGTGAAATGTCATCCCCTTGTAAAAGGAGATTAGTCTTTCTTACTACTCTGCCTTTCACACTTAGGGTGGCATCTGTCATGTATTAATAGAAAGTTCTTGGAGGGAGGACTGTTCATCAGTTGCCAGTGCTGTCATCCTTCATGAGATCTCTGTGCTCGGTGTCAGGGGATGCAGTGAAACAGTAGACAAGAGTTCAAGCCATAGCTCCCTGGCTTTGCAAGGAGCCAAGCTTCTCCATGTCTCAGTTCCCAGGAAGTAGTACTATCTGTCTTATAAGGTTTGTGTGAGAAGTAAGAAAACAGATGTTCAATACTTAGAGTGTGAGCTGGATGTGGTGGCATCTGCTTGTAGTCACAACTGCTCTAGAGGTTTAGACAGGAGGATCACCAAGACCAGGATTTTGAGACCAGTCTTGACTATATATGGAGACCCACTCTAAAAGGCAAGAAACAAAAGCAAAAATAGTTTTGACACATAAAGCGAGCCTACAGTGGTTCTGGAGAAAAACAGAATCATTATATTCTTATCACATGAAGAATTTTTAAGTTGTAAGAGAAACACACTTTAGTGCTTTTAAGAACAAAGGCGAATTGTATAGTTAAAGGGAAGTCTTATAGACTCTAAAGTCAGAAGCGTATTTGGCTTCATGAAGGATCTAGAATCAGGCGCTATGAAGCTATTGGTAAGTGCTCTCACTAGATCCTACATTCTAGCTTTTTCATTTAGCATAACTTTCTCTTCTCCTCAGTCCTCTACAGTTCCTGAGCTTACATTCTGCCACCTTTCGTGACTAACAGACCAACACTCCTTGCTCTCAGTTGTGAATTCCAGGAAGTGGTAATCTAATCTGCTTTATTGAGTCTAATGACCAGTTAATCAGACAACCATGTGAGTGAGGGGTGACAGCAGCTGGCAGCCACAACTATGGTTTTAAGTAAAGGACATGTTCTCAGAAAAGGATCCTGCTAGCTCATATTCTGGGCAGATACCCCAGGATGCATCTACTGCTTCTCCATGATGAACCCACTGCACAGGTACTAATCCTGGAAACACCAGAGCAGCACTGGGTTTTGAGAAGAAGTGGGATGATGTTCTGGGCTTCCAATCTTGGACAATGCAAGCCAAGCAGTGTATGCTCATATGTCCAGGGGTCACTATGGCTCCATTTTGAGAACTGTCATTATACTACACACCTTTCTTGGAAATTTCCTCATCTTGTCTTGTGCACCAACAATTTAACTATTTCCTTCTCACAGCCTCAGTCATTATACAGATGTACACAGGAAGACAGAAGACTGTAGTGTGGTGGCTTCACTACATTCTCACACAGTCTCTTCACCTTTCATCAGAGGCAGCTGGTATTTACACACCAAGAAAGGGTTTTCACGAAATTACAAAACTCCTCAAGGGAACTCATGTTTTGACTATTGGTTTGATTTTGGTACTTTAGGTAGATTCAAGATGACCTTTGTAAGGAGGAAAGGAGACATCAGAGCCCTGGGAAAAGCTTACAGGGACAAGTTCACAACTGGTTTCTTCATAACAGATTGTTTTGAGGAAAAGGTCCATTTGGAAATTGTGCTGGGATGAGATTCCGTTTGGGCAGTGCCAGAGGCAATTTGATCACCCTGCTGGTATAGGTGACACAGAACCTACAGCCTCAGAGCCTCTCTTCAGGTTCCTACTTCCACAGTATTTACTTGCTGAAGATCTGAAACAGATGCCATACAACCTGAGAAACAACACAAAGTGATGAGCAGGGACCCTCATGAGAAGGCAGACTTCCTCTGTAGGTGAAGAGAAGTATGGGCATGGTGGACTTGATTGGGGGTTAGATCAGAGGATAGCTTTATGCTCAGGATTTAAGAAGTTTTACCAACCAAAGTCCTCACCCATTTCCCTGTCTTCCTATTTTGACTCAAAGCCAGCTGGACTTCATATAAAAAAGTGTTTTTTCTATATACAACTTAAAATATACTTGTCGAGTATCTACTATGTAAAGTAAGAAGTTTTGAAGATCCAGATAAAAATACTAAAAACTATGTATAGTGACATGAGAGTACTGTTAAGCCTTCCTGTTAAATCTCCCCAGAGAGGGGTGAGTGAGACATCAGATAACAGCTCCATAGTGCCGTAGATGCTCTTGGTGATGGCCAGCACAATTTCTGTAGATGGTTGTACACCTCAAGACTTAGTAGACCTGGACCCTGCTTCCAGGTATTCTTGGCTTGCCTTAAAGGCATACCATCCCTGGCATGGAAGTTGAGGGTTTATAAAAGCTCAGTGATTGTCACTTGAGCAAGAGCAGTGGGATGAAGGAGAAAGAGTCTTCATGGACAATGGAGATATGCATGTCAAGGCTCCCTTCCAATTGGAGGGATATTTGCACACCCTTGGCATGTCCCTGGTGTTACATACTTTTACTGTGCACTTCAAGGGCATTCTTCAGGGTAGATGTCAGAGAAAACTGTCCCTGGTTGCAGAAAGCACCAGAGAAATCATCCATGTCAAGGGTCCATAAGCATGGCACCTCCAAGACTGTTTTGTTTAAGCCATTCAGCCTGTTAAAGGATAGAGGATAACAGTAATCATTTGATCACTTGAAGCTCAGGGTTGGGGCCTCAGAACATCCATGGGACTGACTTACCTTGATATGAAAGCTCTTGACATTATCATAGCCAACCCATTTGTTGCCCTGATAGGTGTAGGGCACTTCCTGAGCACCATCCCAGGCTTCAGTGGCTCCATCATTCAGGAAGGTACAAATCTTTAAAAGTTAAGAGATAATAATCCTTAAATATTATGCCACGAAAGAGAGAAAGATACATTTTTCTTCCTTTAATGTATGTATCTAGTGGGGTTTTCCTCAGTTTTCTAGTGGGTTTTATTTGGAGTTAAGAAGTCTGAGATTTTTTTTTTATGGTTCTGGGGATGAAACTCATGGTACTGCTTGTGCTACATAAAATACTCTGAAACTGAGCCTCATCCACAGCCCATGTTTTTTTCATTATGTATTTGCTTTTTTATATAGAGTCTCAGTCTATAGCCTAGACTTCAAACTGGTAGCCCCTTTGCCTCTGCATTCTGATATAACAGCTTTATATAGACAGCACCGTAGCAGACAGAAATATTCATGACATATCATTGTACACTATGATATATTTTTAAAGTGAATGGTACTTGACATACTCATTAAGGCAAGATCTAGACCACTGAGCAACACCCTCAGCTCATGCTGTTTTCAAATGCTCATTTGCTGTCCATATTTTAGGGTTGGGTTTTTAGAATCTGTAGTAATATGGGACATATGTTCATTTATCCATATAAGTAGACTTAAGAATGTTCCCGCTGCATGAAGGTATATTATATATTATTAACTATTCTTCAATTTATTAAATATAGAGTGTAAATACAAAACTTCCAAGCCTTTGGAATGATACCCTACTTATAGCAGGTAGATACTGGACATAATGAGCATTCAAATTCAGTAGATTTCTATCCCTCAATCCCTGGGCAAATCTCTGGGCACAGCTCTGGGCCCGATAATCATAGAGCATTGTAAGACAATGTACTGACCTCATAATAGGCCCAGATGCCAGACTCTTCTGTATATGGCCCTAGTGTACCAGCACTAATGGTAGGGGCACAGATTCCAGTGTTGGAGGGGTCACTCAGGGTGAAGGTTTGTCCATATGCTGGGAATCCAAAAATGAGCTTCTCAGGAGCGGCTCCATTTTCATTCCAATAGGTCATGATGTAATCCTGCACTGATAGAAGGTTAGCTATCGGCCTTAGGGAGCTGGTGACCTGTGCTGAGTTATGTTAGTTCCTGTCCTAACTGTTCAAGTTATTTATTGATAATTTATTAGTTTTCTTTCCAAAATACTTCAATGAAGCTGTGGTTAATGAGGTATAAAAGAATACTGCACACTCAAAATTTTATGATGAACCTCTCGGGATTTGGACCATTTCTAGTCTGCATTTGCATGTGTGTAGGGTTCTTACCACATTGAGGAAGGTGTTGGTACCAGTGTCATTTAGGGATTTGTAAAGGGGACTGTTTTTCCCAGTGTAGCCATCTTGGGAGCCATGGAGATTGTAAGTCATGACCTGGATGTAGTCTAGGGAGCTGTGGACGAAGGATGCTGTTTAAATCATTTCTGATGGTCATTTGTCATGCCCATGCCAGAAAACTCACTCTTTCAAAGCCTATTCACAAAGTTCATGTGCAGCAAAACATCCCTAGGATGAAGATCTGCTGCTTATACTCCCACAAGAATTCCAGAATATGGTAGGTCACTTACTGTGACAGTTGGGGGATCTCATAGCCAGACTGGATGGTGAGGATGACACCAGCCACTGTAGCAGTGATCATCAGCCTGGGGCTATTGTTCTGAAAGGCTTCCTGTTCAAAAGCTTCACGCATTTCCTACAGAATATTAAAGTACAGTAGAGAACATCACAAGTTCATTTCAGCTCTTCTAATAACACACACACACACACACACACACACACACACACACACACACACACACACTGAGAAACACCTGCATATTTTGTTTTACTTAGTCTGTCATCATCTCAATAAAGTCAGTACAACAGATGGTATTAACAGCCATTTAATATTCTTGGGGTTTAGGAAACTTCACTATGTCCCATCTAAAGTCAGTAGCCAGTCATCTGAAATCTAGATCCCAGATGACTGAGCGCTTTCCCACCATCACCACATTCTGAAGCATCCATCCCTTGAAACAGTTCCCTAAATCCAGCCTTTGGTGGTGGTGAACGTTTTCTCTTTTTCCAGTAGCTGAAGTGTATCTTAGGACCAACATCTCACTGAATGAAATGCAAACTTAACTAAAGGAGAAGGTGGTAAGGGCTGGGTGACAAGCACAATCCAGTGCTAGACGGTAATCTACCTCTACCTTTTGTGACTTTAATCTTACATGAAAGCCTATTTTGGGGTCAACCTTATTTTGGAGTGACAGGTCATTTTTAAACAGAATGCTTACAGAAATTGCCATGTGTGCTATCGGTCAAGTTACTAGGACATTTTACTAGATGAAGAGGCATTATAAGAAGGGTGTTAGAGCTGTCTTGAAATATTGCAAGGTATATGGTTTTTATTGCACTGTTGTAGTGGGCAGACCTACAACTTTGGCCTGGAGGCATGTTTCAATTAAAAATAGAGATTGTAGAAGCCAGGAAACCAGAAAGGGGCCACTGGGGCACAGGGATGGGAGACAGAGCGTAATTGGTACGAGGAAGGATAACATTAAGAATGTCAAAAACACATAGAAGCCTACTGTTTTATAAGCTTCCCCAAATACATTTTAATTGGAGTTACCTACAGATGGGAAGTCATAGGTTATCAGACAGAAAACCCAGTACCGGCTGTGGGATGTGAGTCTTCAAGCTGTTGGTCATGGGGTCCCAGAGACTCCCAGGAAGCAGGCTATTACCGTTGCTGTTGGTTACCCACTAGAACTGGATGGCACTGTAGAACTGTGTGGCCAAGAACCTGTGAGTTTGGGAGTCATAGGCTCTACAACTCCTGTCTTCCTAAGGAAAATAGTATCAAACTACCTCCTAAATTACTATCCTTGTACCCACAGACTAGTGCAACCCTCATCCCTCATTCCTCACCAGGGAGGGGTCTCTATGCAGCAGATGACAAGTAATGCAGACTCACAAAACTGGTGGAAATGCAGAGAAGAAGTGACCGTGGAGTGTTCTGCTCAAAACGGGATATCTGGCTCACAATCTATTTCCCCAAGGCGCTTGGAACATTGGAGAAAATGGGGTGAGCCAGAGGTTGGGGAAGATTGCTGAGAAATAATGCCTTCTTGCTACGATGGGGCTGTTGCGTCCACGAACTCACAACAGTTGCGGGTTCTTGTTTTCTCAAGACTGGCACAAGGTCAAGCCAATCAACACCTCAGTGGGAAGAGCTTCAGGTGGTCTCACCTTTAGGTGAGGAGCTATTGGCTGGCTACATGTAGTGAGAAAGACAATCAGTTTTCCTCAGCTGTATCGCCCGTGGTAATTTGCTCATACTCCACTAGATGGCGCTATACACCCATGTAAATATGAGCAGCAGTCATTGGCCTCTGAAAACGGAAACCCTAAATTTGGGAGTGGGATGAGGGAAGTCTGGAGAGAACTGAAAGCAGGTAGTGGAGGGGAAGGTAATGAATATGATCTAAGTACATTGATTCATGTATGAAATTACCAAAGAATAAATACAAATAAAAAATAAAGGAATGGAGTTACTGTGTCCCATACTCAGCTACTGGACAAAAATAAACTGGTTGACTCCATGAGTTAGTGTTGAAACTCTCCAGAGGCTACCGGGCGATCTAGTATATGGCACCAGATGGAAATAATGTGTGGCTGTACATATAGGTCAGTGGTAGAGATTGCGCCAAAAAGGAGTAGAAAATAGAAGAAAAGAATGGAATAAATTAAAAGCCATCTGTCGTCTTTGACTTGATAATGCATTCATTTTTGTTTGGTGATCATCCCTGTTGCTGTTAACACCAGTCCATCAAGTCAACTTCTTTCACCTGAGCTCTAGATTGGTATTCACCTGATGCATTCTGGCTATTCAGATATACCTCTATGCTCTGCTTAAAGGAGCCAATTCTCCTGCTCCAAAACCACTCTTTTGCTGAATCTATCATCTTAACCATCCCATTTATGCCCTCTTAGCCCTTTGACTCAGAAAAGTGGGAGTCTTCTATTATTTTCTACTATAAATTGATCCCCAGGTCCCACTGATTTCTATCTTCAAACCTCTTTGCATACACCCTCCTCCCCTCAGTGTCAAAGAATTGCTTCCCTCTGATCACCTGTCCCTTAATTTATATCAGTAGCCTCCACTTGAACTTTGCCTGATGACTCTACTTGTTTGTGGTTCATGTCAGAGAAATAGTCAAAACCAAAAGTTTGGTCATATTTCTCCACTGTATATATTCCTTCACAGTGTCCCCAATTATCTCAAGGGAGAATTCTTATTCTTTAGCTAAAAGACCCTGCTACCTGTGGAAGCTCATAATCTTTCTCCCAATCACTTGATCACTGATCTCCGAGTCTTCACTTGTGACCTGCCCATTCCGATCTAATTGGGGAACACTAATGTTTTCCCAAGACCATGATGAAGCATCACTTATTGGGGTAAACTCTGATCCTGCTTCATACAAACTTCTCTGGGTTTCTCTTTTACTCTGTAGACCCTTATCAAGGCATTTATCATAATCATGTGTCTGCAAGCATTGGTTATGTTTCAGTCTTCTGCCTCATAGGGTATGTTCTTCAAAGCCAAAGATTTTGCCTTATTCTTATTTTAACCCTAAACTCAATATTTGCCACAGAGCATGTATTACTACAATGACAACAGATTGTCTCATATAATCACTCCTGGCACTGTTGTTAGACAACACGGGCATCTATGATTGATCCTTAGTTGCTTAGCTGTAGAATACAGATCATAGCACTTATGGTACTTTTATCATAGAACACTTAATACACGAAGATCTGTGCGAGTTCAACCAGACAAAATACCAGCATGGAATGGGGAGGTTGTCAAGCAATTCCATCCCTACTGAAGGAATGATTGGTAATTGATAGCTTCCAGGAGAAGTTAACTTTCTTTAAAGGTGTGGTCCCTGATAGGTGGGACATGCTCCAGTGGATGGCCGTACAACCAAGAGTAAACAGCACTAATTGGAATTGTGTGTGTGTGTGTGTGTGTGTGTGTGTGTGTGTGTGTGTGTGTGTGTTTAAATTACACAAAGCTGAGTGGGTATGGAATCAGAGGTGGATGTGGGAGAAGATGAGAGAGAGGAAGTTATGATCAAAATACAATGTATGATACTCTCAATTAAAACATGCATTAAGTGTGAATCATCATTCCTAAACAATGTGATATATGGAGAATGTAACTTGTTGAATTGGTACTTTATACAGCAGGATCTTTGCAATGTTATGATTCAGTTGAGTTTGGTTTTACTCTGTAACCACTTAGTTCTCCTTGGAAAAAACAGACTTTGAATCTTCTACAGCTGAAGATACTTCTGGCTTTTCCTGCTTTCCTCACCTGCTCGAGGATGGTGAAGAGATGCTTGTCCTTAGCAGGGCTCCCATGAGACCTGGGGAACTGCCAGTCCAGGTTCAGCTCGTCAAACCTATACTGGTGCAGGAATTTGATGGCTGAGTTAATGAAAGTCTGGCGGTTGTGAGGAGTGGAGACCATGTTACTGAACCTGAGAGAGACCAGAAGAAGGCAGGGTAAGGCCTCTCTGATACTAACATATTGAAATAAAAACACTTTACAGCCCAATTTTTACCTCTGAGCCCTCAACCTTCTTAATACTTGTTCCTATTTTTGCCCCAGCCTCCCTTTGCATCACTACTGCTGTCAGCCTCACAACTCAGCATTCCCTTTGTTTTGTTATCCCTAATTGAATTATTCCCAAATTATCTTTGTTAACTTACCACGTTGTCTTCAAATACCCTCCAAGTTCATGTGTTCTTCAAGAAGTCTTATTTATGAGTAGACTTTTAGAAGTGGTACAAGGCCTTCCTGAGCCCTTGTACCTTGAAATACTTTAGGTAGAGGCACGTTGGAAGCAGGTAACTAATACTCAAAGGGTGCTGGACTTGAATACCCACTTGAATTTAAACATTTGACACCATAGTAATCTTTCCAATATGTTCTGCTTAGAAGTAAGGTTCCAGTCAATTTATAGGGTCAACTCATTCACTTATTGGATTCCTTTCACACCTCAGATGTTGTGAAGTACTGCAATAGAGGCTGTGTTAGGCTAGCTTGCTTTCAATAGTCAATGAACAACTGTTTTTCTAGAGAGAACTTATGGGGCAGGTCCAAAGTCCCAGCCTCCAATGGCCAGGAGGGTTTTCAGCTGGGTGTTCCTTAAAAGCAAAAGATACAGAATGATTTCAAAATTCATGGGTCCTCTTATTTAAAAGAGCTTCACTAGGTAATACAGCTGATATTATTAGGTGTTGTCTTGACACTATAGCACATTTTTATAAACGTTCTTTGTGTTTTTGCCATAAATGCAGTTCAAGTCCCTGAGGAACATCTGAATTGTAGAATTGTGT